TAACAAACTGCGCTCCTTTGGTAAAGAGGCCACATCAGCCTTAGGGTCAGCAAGACAAAAAAATTATGGGTCCAGGGTGTTTCATACAGTCTGCGGGACTGAGTGGCCCGCCTTGCTGTTGGCCGTCTATATGGCTGGAAAACTCTTGAGAGATTAGCCTGAACAAAATCAGATCTGGAGGTTGACGGCTGAGGGAAATTAATGGAATTAGGTAATTGATGTGTAGTATCTTGAATAATAATCAGACTACTACATGAACCGAGTTGAATTTGACACTTTACTTTCTGTTTACTGCAGTTTTAGCAACAGACATAAACACTGCATACATCCCGCATGGGACATCTTCTTCAACTAACTTTTCCGGTAAGAACACAACACTTTTTGTCAATACAACATTTCCGTCTCACGCTTGAGGTATTCGGCCAATCACAACGCTCTGGATAGCTGGCCAATCACAGCACACCTCGCTTTTTCAGACCGATGAGCTTTGTAAAAATCGACACGTTTCAAAAAGGCGGGGCATAGAGGAGAAACAATAATGTACAGTATGTGGAAAATAATGTGTTTTTTTTACTTTAACCCGCATAAACACATTTCATTACACCAAATACACAAAATAATGTTCTTTTTAGCAGCATCATATGACCCCTTTAAAGTGTATCATGGCACAAACAAATGAGATCTCTGAGGACCTCATAAAATAGTTGGTGTTGCTCATCAGGCTAGAAAAGTTTTCAAAGCCATCTCTAAAGAGTTTGGACTCCACCAATCCACAGTCATACAGATTGTGTACAAATGGAAATTCAAGACCACTTTTACCCTCCCCAGGAGTGCTCCACCAACAAAGAACACTTTAAAAACAAGACGTGTAAAAGTCCACTAGGTTTCAAAGGACTACAGGCTAACATCTAAGCAACTAAAGGACTCTCACATTGGCTAATGTTTATGAGCCCATCATCAGGAGAACGCTGAACAACCATGGTGTCCATGGCAGAGTCGCAAGGAGAAAACCACTGCTCTCCAAAAAGAACATTGCTGTCCATCTGGAGTTTGCTAAAGATAATGTGGACAAGCCAGAGGAATACTGGAGAAATGTTTTGTGGATGAATGAGACCAAAATAGAACATTTTGGTTTAAATGAGCAGTGTTATGTTTGGAGAAAGAAAACACTGCATTCCAGCATTAGAACCTAATTCCATCTGTGAAACGTGGTGGTAGTATCATGGTTTGGACCTGTTTGCTGCATCTGGTCCAGGACGGCTTCCCATCATTGATGGAACAATGAATTCTGAGTTATACCAGCAAATTCTGAAGGAAAATGTCAGGGCATCTGTCCGAGAACTGAATCTCAAGAGAAAGTGGGTCATGCAGCAAGACAACACAAGTCGTTCTACCAAAGAATGGTTAAAGAAGAACAAAGTTAACATTTGAAATGACTGAGTCAAATTCCGGACCTTAATCCAATTGAAATTTTGTGTAAGGACCTGAAGCAAGCAGTTCATAGGAGGAACCCCACCAACATCACAGAGTTGAAGTGGTTCTGTTCTGAGGAATGGGCTAAAATTCCTACAAGCCGTTGTGCAGGACTGATCAGCAATTACAAGAAACGTTACTTGCAGTTATTGCAGCAAAAGGGGGTCACACCAGATACTAAGATTCACATATCTTTGCTACTCACAATTATTTAACACCAGATAATTTTCCTCAATAAATAAATGACAAAGTATATATTTTTGTCTCCTTTGTTTGATTGGATTCTCTTTGTCTACTTTCAGGATTTGTGTGAAAATCTAATTGTTTTGGGTCATATTTATGCAGAAATGTAGAAAATTCTAAAGGGTTCACAAACTTTCAAGCAGCACTGTACAAAAACATATTGACAGAAGGCAACTAATAATTTGTGGGGGAAAAAAGAAACATGTGGAATAATTAATCAGGTAATGTTAATTATGTAATAAAAGACAGAATTTATTTATGCAGATACTTCGAATTACCTGCCATTCTTTGAGCAGTTAGATAAACCTAGAAGGATGAGAAGATGGGAGCCACATTTCATCAGAAAGTTTGTCAGGTTTATCTGAGAATATGCTGTATGATTTCTTAAATTTTATTTCAGAGAAGATAATATTACGACTCACAAAACTGTGGCTAACATCAAATCTGCAAGGGGCACGTTTGCAACAACTTTCATGCAAACAAATCTAACCATAGACAATTTCAATATTACATTTAAATTGTAACTTGAGTACAGTTTATCACTCTCAACATATCTGTCTATAAAAGCCTATAAAAATCAGTCTTCATGTACTTCTCAACACTTCAGCATGCATCCTCATTAAGCAAGGGTCCATTTTTATGATTCTTTACCTAACCTAAGTCCCCTGAGAACCTGACACCTTGTACTTCTGGAGACTCCAGGTAGGTTGTAGTTGGTGGAACTGGAGACTAAATGGTTCCTGATGGTTTCACACCTTCACCTTTATTATTTTGCAGTTAACGTGTCTTTTCTTCTCCACCTGTTTTTTCTGACCCTGCTGACCCAATCAGCATTTCGCCATCCAATGGTCATGCCTTAATTTAGCAATTTCTAGTATTGCATCCTTCTCATGTGAACCTTCTCATTCCTTAGGGTTGGTCCTGCCATGGTCGCAGAACACAGGAGGCTCTAGAAGTGCTAATTAGAATAGTGGCATCAGAAAAATGAAAATCCCCACCTGTAACATGAACAGCAGGGAAGGACATTGGCTGAGTACTATCACAAGAAAACCCCACTTGGGGCTCCGCATTAAAACCGGGAGCATTCTGAGTACAAGCACTCACGCTGCTACCCCCCTGGAGGATGCACTGATAACCATTTATCCAATATTGTGTTGTGTTTAAAGGGGTCATATAATGCGATTTCAATTTTTCCTTTCTCTTTGGAGTGTTACAAGCTCTTGGTGCATAAAGAAGATCTGTAAAGTTGCAAAGACTAAAGTCTCAAATCCAAAGAGATATTCTTTATAAAAGTTAAGAGTCAGCCACGCCTACCTAAAACGGCTCATTCTAACACGCCCCCACATGTCTGTGGAAATATTAGCATAATGCCACCCAAATGTGCACACAAAGAAAGAAGGCGTGGTTTCAGGAACAGCAGTAGTGTTGATGCAGCCATGTCAGGGAGACGGTGTGTATTTCAATGCGAAAGCAAAAGCACTTTATTTGGCCTTCCGGAAGTAGATGCAATTAGGAATCATTGGTTAAGATTTATTTACAACAGACAAGCACAACCCAGATTTTGTGCACCGCATTTTATGGACAAGGCTGGCTGTGCATAAAGGCTATTTCTAAAAATAAAAAAAGGGTCAATTCCGACTTTGCAATGACAATCTGGCGCTTCTGAATCAGCGACTGTAAGTATGTTTTGTTATTAGTTTAAGTATTTTCTATTGACTGTTCAAATGCGGAGTTTTGTGCAGCGCAGAGTAACGCGTCGTGTGTGTGTGTGTGTGAGGGGAACAGGGTCACATCACAGGAGAGTGAACTGCCTGTCAGAAATCATAGCACGTCAGTCTTAACCGCGGCTTGTGTACGGCATCATCACTGTGTCTGTCACGTGACTCTATTGCTCTTTCGGGCTTGAACTGATGGTAAAACTAACGACATTATAACTAACGTCTTGATATTTACTTTGAAAGCTGAAGCTCCCGATTATGGTAAGGGGCGTTACATTTCCGACGAGTGCTTGCGGTGTTCGGCCAATCACAATGCACTGGGTCAGCTGGCCAATCAGAGCAGACTGCGCTTGTCGGAAGGAGGGACTTTGTAGAAAACGAAGCGTTTGGTTTTTTAACATTAAAGCATGTCAACATATTCTGTTATACCAAATACACAAAATAATGATCTTTAAAATAGCATCATATGACCCCTTTAATACTTCAGTTAACTAAGTGAAAGTGGAGCAGGTACTTGCTTAGCAAAATTTGTCTGTAGGCACGTGTGGTTGCAGGTGTCAACATGCGCCCATGAGTTATGTAAACTTTAAAAAACTCCTGGGAAAAAACTTAAAAAATACTTTTTAAACCATTTAACTGATATTATTAATCGGTCAAAATTCTTACTTTCGTTTAATGGTTAAACAGTCAATATGAGCATTTCTAATTCCTGTGGAAGAAAACATTGTAGCTCCAGGACAGGCTACTATGAAGAGGGCCAAGGGCCCTATATATAGGTGCATCTCAATAAATTAGAATGTCGTGGAAAAGTTCATTTATTTCAGTAATTCAACTCAAATTGTGAAACTCGTGTATTAAATAAATTCAGTGCACACAGACTGAAGTAGTTTAAGTCTTTGGTTCTTTTAATTGTGATGATTTTGGCTCACATTTAACAAAAACCCACCAATTCACTATATCAACAAATTAGAATACTTTATAAGTTTATAACATTTTTAGTGAATTGTTGGCCTTCTGAAAAGTATGTTCATTTACTGTACATGTACTCAATACTTGGTAGGGGCTCCTTTTGCATGAATTACTGCATCAGTGTGTCGTGGCATGGAGGCGATCAGCCTGTGGCACTGCTCAGGTGTAATGGAAGCCCAGGTTGCTTTGATAGCGGCCTTCAGGTCATCTGCATTGTTGGGTCTGGTGTCTCTCATCTTCCTCTTGACAATACCCCATAGATTCTCTATGGGGTTCAGGTCAGGCGAGTTTGCAGGCCAATCAAGCACAGTAACACCATGGTCATTGAACCAGCTTTTGGTGCTTTTGGCAGTGTGGGCAGGTGCCAAGTCCTGCTGGAAAATGAAATCAGCATCTCCATAAAGCTTGTCAGCAGAAGGAAGCATGAAGTGCTCTAAAATTTCCTGGTAGATGGCTGCGTTGACTGTGGACTTCAGAAAACACAGGTTAGGTGTATGTCTGTGACTTCTTTGGTCTCTCGTCAGGTGAACAGGTATGCGCCTCGGCATGGCATAGTTGGCATTTTGTTCATTTCCCCTATAAGGGGGTTAGGTGTATGTCTGTGACTTCTTTGGTCTCTCGCCAGGTGAACAGGTATGCGCCTCGGCATGGCATAGTTGGCATTTTGTTCATTTCCCCTATAAGGGGAACGTCTCAGGTTACGCATGTAACCATGGTTCCACGAAAGGGAATGAGACGCTGCGTCCCCTCACCATGCCTTTGGCCTGCCTGTTTACATCTCCTTCAGACAACTAGTTGGTGAAGTATTCAGCAGGTGCCCCTTTATACTTCCGGGCACCCACCTGTGATGTCACGGGCCATGTGGACCAATAGAATTGGAGTTTTTGCACATGTGCTTCAGACAACGGTCAAGCATTCCCCATAGTGTCCGCTAGAGGACACAGCGTCTCGTTCCCTCTTGGGGAACCATAGTTACACGCATAACCCGAGACATTGTGCTCTGTACTGATTTAATTATTTCAGGTCCCCTTCTATCAGATCGAAATTTCATTTGAATCAAGCTCAATCAGACTGATTGAGGTGTTAACATGACAGCTTTTCAGATTATTATTGGATTATTTGGGAAAACGTAGGTAGTGATGGCACACTTCTCTCCAGTTATTTCATGATTCTTAAGGTTTTTCCTGTCTGTGAAACTCATTCCATACTGACAACATCTAAAACACTTCTCTTAAAGTGAATCTTCACATGTTGATTAAGGGTTACTTTTCGTCCGAAACTCTTTCCACACTGATCACATGTGAACGGCTTCTCTCCAGTGTGAATGACCATGTGAGTCTTAAGAGATCCTTTTCGTGTAAAGCTCTTCCCACACAATTTGCACGTGTGAGGGTTTTCTCCAGTATGAATTCTCATGTGGGAATCAAAGGATGGTTTATGTCTGAAACACTTTCCACACTGAGAGCATGTGTAAGGCTTCTCTCCAGTGTGAATTCTCATGTGTTTTATGATGTTCCACTTTTTAGTGAAACATTTTCCACACTGTTTGCAGGTGTAAGGCTTCTCTCCAGAGTGAATTCTCATGTGGCTTATAAGGTTCGCTTTTTGACTGAAACACTTTCCACACTGTTGGCATATGTAGGGTTGCTCTCCAGTGTGAATTCTCATGTGGTCTTTAAGGATTTTTTTCCCATTGAAACCCTTTCCACACTGTTGGCATGTGTAAGGTTTCTCTCCAGTGTGAATTCTCACGTGGTCGTTAAGGATTTTTTTCCCACTGAAACACTTTCCACACTGTTGGCATGCATAAGGTTTCTCTCCAGTGTGAATTCTCATGTGGCTTGTAAGGTTTCCTGTGTGACTGAAACTTTTTCCACAGTGAGGGCAGGTGAAAGGCTTCTCTCCAGTGTGAATTCTCATGTGGATTTTAAGGTTTCCTGTGAGACTGAAACTCTTTCCACACTGAGGGCAGGTGAAAGGCTTTTCTCCAGTGTGAACTCTCATGTGGTCATTAAGGTTTTTTTTCTCACTGAAACACTTTCCACACTGATGGCAGGTGTTAGATTTGGTCTTCTGGGCTCTTTTTCGTGAGGACATTTTTTCAGTCTTTACAGATTTTTTTCCAGTTATGAAATCATGAAGTTCCTCATTCTGATCCTTCTCTTCCATTTCATTCAGTTCTTGTCGCTCCTCTTTTGGTGGCATCGTGTCTACAGTGGAAAAAAAGAAATACATGTTAACCTTACATTGTAGAAGGTGACAGTAGCATACTGTTTTCCATTAAAATTGTACTATATTGTAAAAAAACAATGCATTCTGGGAATTGTTTGCCATTTCCATGTACTGCAAATTACTTTGTTGAAAGGGAAACGGGTACATTTAGCTAAAAGGGAATTACTAATTATATTTATAGTGAATTTTGACAGAAACAATGTTTTACGGCTGATCAAATTATTGGTAAGCGATTAATTGAACGGCCATAACTATCAGCTCTGCAAAGGATATTATATCCAAAGTATAGTGAAAACACTATTTATTAGAACTGTAACAAGATCAGCAGTTTAAGACATTAACTTGTAAGCACAAATCACAATACTTCTCTTTAAATACATACAAGACTTTATTGGACATACAGTATCTAAAGACTTATGTCATGATGGTAGAGGAGCAGCAGGTATGTAGTAGGCTCGCAAGCGCACTGAAAGAAGGCAAAAAAGCTTAAAGGGAAAAAGAAAAATTTGTTTTTGTCATGAGTTTTTAAACTCAGCTGTTAGACACATCCTTACTGGTGTCCTGACCAATTAGACATTGTTTTAGCTGGCGGGGTGATTATGTTTCTCCTCCCAATACGTAAATCAACATGTTATCTTAAGTCACATGATCTGAATTTTCCCGTTCTTGCAGAGTATAATTTAGACATGATTCTATAATTAAGTAGAAGATATTGGGTTTAATATTATACAACTTAATTCTTTTATTCAGACTACTTCTGTATTTTTCTGGTCATGTGATCTCATGTCATGTGACATGTCTGTTACATGATGTGACTCACTCCATGAAAAATAAAATGTAATTAGGACACTAGTATATCATTCTTCAAAAATATAATTAATTCCTGTAGAGCTGGACATTTTAATAAGAATCAAATGAGTGAGTTCAGCTTTGAGAAGGAAAACCAACCTGTTTGTTCCTCAGTATCTTCATGTTTGACTCTGAATGTTTCTTCATTCCTCGTGTCTTCACTCTCCTCTTCAATTAACCCAATCTCTGTTTGTGTCTCAGTATCTTCATGTTTGACTCTGAATATTTCTTCAGTCCTCGTGTCTTCACTCTCCTCTTTAATAAGCGCCATCTCTGTTTGTTCCTCAGTATCTTCATGTTTGACTCTGAATGCTTCTTCAGTCCTCGTGTCTTCACTCTCATCTTTAATGAACACCATCTCTATTTGTTCCTCAGAATCTTCATGTTTGACTCTGAATATTTCTTCATTCCTCGTGTCTTCACTCTCATCTTTAATAAGCGCCATCTCTGTTTGTTCCTCGGTATCTTCATGTTTAACTCTGAATGCTTCTTCAATCCTCATGTCTGCACTCTCCTCTTTAATAAACGCCATCTTAATAATAGTGTGTCACGTGGATCTCAGCTGCTTCAGAAGGAGTTTTTCTGTGTGTTTTGACACTTTGTCCTGTTTAAGATGAGAATAATTAATAGAAAGAAAAATAAATCTAAACTAAATCTCTGGGTGCGTCTCAATCAGCTCCCTAGTTTAAGGGATAGTTCACCCAAAAATGAAAACGACCCCATGATTTACTCACCCTCAAGCCATCCTAGGTGTACAATAGGTAGTCGAACAGAATGCCTATTACGCTTGCGCAAATAAAAATCAGTCACATGTGAAACTCGTTCGCGAAATCACCAGGTGGCGCAAATGGATGGATGACACCATTTGCTCAATAAAACAGAAACGTGATGTTTTTACTTGTGAATGAAGATTAAAAAAAATAAAATGTCTAGTTTAATAATAATAATAATAATATAGCATTATAACATTAAATCCCGACTATATGCATAAAGGTTCAACATTTCATAAGCGGCTCTCCGTGCTGCTTCGCTAAAGATAGGTTCTTAGTCTATTTTTGATGGATGCCGCGTCCAAGCCGCATATCATTAGATAATTGAGGATGAATTTTAAATAATGAAAAAACAGCTACAAATCTTTTATCCTTGTCAATCATAACTACACTTTTAAGGCCCGGTTTCACAGACTGGGCTTAGCTTAAGCCAGGACTAGGCCATAGTTCAATTAGGATTTTAAAGTAATTTTTATAAACATGCCTTAGAAAAAACATTACTGGTGTGCATCTTGAGACAAAACAAGGGCACTGACATATTTCAAGATTAATCAGTGCAAGTTTCTTTCAGTTGAAACAGCTCAGACTTCAATTTTAGTCTGGGACTAGGCTTAAGCCTTGTCTGTGAAACCGGGGGTAAGTGTATTAACTTTGCCTGTTGGATACAACACACAAAGTAGGACCTAGCAATAAACACAATTAAACCAGACAAAACAACCACTTAAGCCGGGCATATACTGTGTGATTTTCAACCGATTTTGAGCCGAATTTCGGCTCGTGCGACTCTTTTTTGAGTCGGGCTGAATTTCAGCTTTGTTGTGCGTTGTTTCTCGTGCAGTGTACAGGGGGAAACGAGAAGTCTCTTCCAACAAGCAATCGGACGGTTGGATGAATTTCTAACATGTCCGAAATTTTGGTCGGCCCTCGTGAGGGTATCACACAGTTGAAGCAGAGCTATGAACCGACTGGCCTAAACTCAGTGCTTTTTCCCTCACTGCGCCTGTGCGAAAATAGAACTTTAACCATTTAATCTTTAATGCAGCAAGAAAGAAAACAAAAAGAGGGAGATCTTTTGATAAAACAATTTTATTATCACAGGAAATGTGAACCATTGTCCATCATTTTGCAATTAGTGATAAAGACAAACACGTCGCAAAATTATAAATATTTCAGTTTTAAACTATGAAGGCGAACTGCATGAGCGTTATGCCCGTGATCGAAGAAGTTTTAAACTCCAGTCAATTCATTAAGCTACAGAAAGTGAAAGTAAAAACTGACCGAGCTGTTGGCGTCTGACGCTGCATTAATGGCACATATTCTCTCAGAGGAGACGAGAGATATTGGGTATTGTCTTAATTTATTTTCTTAAAAAAAATATCTTATGGCTGATATACAGTGCTGCTTGAAAGTTTGTGAACCCTTTAGAATTGTCTATATTTCTGCATAAATATAACCCAAAAAATCATCAGATTTTCATGCAAGTCCCGAAAGTTGACAAAAACAACCCAATCAAGCAAATGAGATGAAAATATGAAGAGTTCCAATGCAAAAGCCTCTAAAAGCCATCTTGGTCCAAAATTAGATAACGATACTGATTGAATGCTCTCCACACGATGATATGTTCATCAAGTACTTTCACTTTTGCTAAATCCCAGCCCCAACCCATTCAGAAGTACCAGTACTTACATAGAAACCTATACATAGTAGCCAGAAAAATTCTAATTTTAGAGGCTTTTGCATCTGAACTCTTCATATATACTTTGTCATTTATTTATTCAGGAAAATGATCCAATATTACATATCTGTGAGTGGCAAAAGTATGTGAATCTCTAGGATTAGCTATTCATTTGAAAGTGAAATTAGAGTCCATCTGTTCAGAAGTGTTTTTAATCAGTGAGATGACTATCATGTGTCAGTGTATGCCCTGTTTTATTTAAAGAACAGGGATCTATCAAAGTTTGATCATGTTTATGGAAGTGTATCATGGCACAAACAATTTAGATTTCTGAGGACCTCAGAAGAGTCTGTGTTGCTCATCAGGCTAGAAAAGGTTTCAAAGCCATCTCTAAAGAGTTTGGACACCACCAATCCACAGTCAGACAGATTGTGTACAAATGGAAATTCAAGACCACTGTTACCCTCCCCAGGAGTGGTCCACCAACAAAGATCACTCCAAAAGCAAGATGTGTAAAAGTCCACTAGGTTTCAAAGGACTGCAGGCTAACTTCTAAGCAGCTAAAGGCCTTTCTCATATTGGCTAATGTTAATGTTTATGAGCCCATCATCAGGAGAACACTGAACAACCATGGTGTCCAAGGAGAAAACCACTGCTCTCCAAAAAGAACATTGCTGTCCATCTGCAGTTTGCTAAAGATCATGTGGACAAGCCAGAGGAATACTGCAGACATGTTTTGTGGATGAATGAGACCGAAATATAACTTTTTGGTTTAAATGAGCAGTGTTATGTTTGGAGAAAGAAAACACAGCATTCCAGCATTAGAACCTAATCCCATCTGTGAAACATGGTGGTGCTGGTATCATGGTTTGGGCCTGTTTGCTGCATCTGGTCCAGGACGGCTTGCCATCATTGAATTCTGAGTTATACCAGCAAATTCTGAAGGACAATGTCAGGGCATCTGTCCGAGAACTGAATCTCAAGAGAAAGTGGGTCATGCAGCAATACAACGACCCCAAGCACACAAGTCGTTCTACCAAAGAATGGGTAAAGAAGAACAAAGTTAACGTTTTGGAATGGCTGAGTCAAATTCCGGACCTTAATCTAATTTGTGGAAGGACCTGAAGCAAGCAGTTCATAGGAGGAAACCCACCAACATCACAGAGTTGAAGTGGTTCTGTTCTGAGGAATGGGCTAAAATTCCTACAAGCCGTTGTGCAGAATTGATCAGCAGTTACCAGAAACGTTACTTGCAGTTATTGCAGCAAAAGGGGGTAACACCAGATACTGAAAGCAAAGATTCATACTTTTGCTACTCACAAATATTTAACATCAGATAATTTTTCTCAATAAATAAATGACAAAGTATATATTCTTGTCTCCTTTGTTTGATTGGATTCTCTTTGTCTACTTTCAGGATTTGTGTGAAAATCTAATTATGTTTTGGGTCATATTTATGCAAAAATATAGAAAATTCTAAAGGGTTGACAAACTTTCAAGCAGCAATGTATGTAGTGAAAACAACAACAGAATTGAAGTATTTTGTGTTAAACAAGTTGTTTTTGAAATGTCTTTGTAGGCTAATAAAGGTCTTATTTTGATGACTGATTATTACAGTGTTCGGACATAGGCTACTTTTATAGGCCTATTCATTGTGTAATATACAGTATATAAATGTTTTAAATTATTTTCAATGAGGAGTAAGCTAATTTAATAATTTATTATCCGCACGTCAGTTGTGCGGTAATGAGCTATGAAATTATTGCAGGTCAAATTAATTGTAGTAGACCTATAAATTTTATAATAAAATTAATAATACGTTAATATAATTACATAGCAATGGTAATAAGAAACATTTGAAGCTCCTCTGAGCGCAAACACAAATATGCTGATCGGGTCAGTCGCACTGGTGCTCCTAAATATTTTTTCATATTCGCACGCAGTAGTTTTCAGTCGCAAATTTATTTATTTTTTGTTCTGTTTTAAATGCCATTAAATTTAAATGATTTGGAGTAAGGAAAAGTAAATTACATGTTTACAGAATTTATTGTGTGTAAATTTCTTAACATTCGTTTTATTAATATTATCAGTATTTACATTATTTCTGAAAGTAATAGTAAAATGCGTCTTATTGTCACAAATCCGGTCCATGAACTTCCGTCTGCTAGCCATCAGAGGTCACCCTTTCCATTTTCATTGACTCTCGCACTACACACTGTTGCATATCACTACATATCCCATCATTCATTGCACTGATTGCACACAGCACTGATTGCACACAGGTGTTTCATATCACTCGCTCACTATATAACACTCTCTCAAACAACCATTCTCTGCCGAGTATTACTTTACCATTTACTGCCGATCGTTGACCTACGCTAGCCCTAGGACTATTCTTGTGTTTTGCCCGCCATATACCTGTTTGCCATTGTTCGACCCTGCCTGTTATGACCAAGTCTCTTAAATAAAAGCTTGCAGATGGATCCACACGTCTCACGTCTCGTCAGCCCCGTTACAGAATACTCGGCCTCACAAGGATCCAGCAGCTGTTCAAGTGGACATTGGCCAGGTATGGACACGGCAAGAATTTTATTAGCCCTTAAAACAGGGCCCACGATCATTGGAGAACCATATTCCGAGAGTTTAGCCATCGCTCACTATTCTGATTTACCAGACTTTTTATTGATAGAGTTTTTCTGCGATGGCATAAATCAACCTCTTAGGTCTAAACTTAGACGTGAGGGTCCACGGTTATCACTCGCTCAGTTAATGGATTATGCCTTGTTGACTGTTGGATCTTTGTTTACTGTGGGTGTCGCAGAGGAAGAACGCGACACAGTGTCTGTGACTAAAGTAGCGGCTGTACCAGAGCACGCTCACAAAATGGCGGCGACAGCGGAGCCTGATCGCAAAATGGCGGACACAACAGCGCCCCGTTATGTCACAGCTGATCTTCATGAATCAAGTCAAGTTACCGTTGATCATCATGAGTCTAGTCAAGTCCCAACTGATCGTCATGAGTCAAGTTTAGTCACAGCTGATTTTCATGAGTCAAGTCTAGTCACAACTGATCGTCATGAGTCAAGTCTAGTCACAGCTGATCTCTCTGAGTTCAGTCAAGTCACGGTTGATCATCATGAGTCAGGTAAAGTCACAACA